AGGGGACTCATTCACTGATGAAGGAGATAATCTTGGTCAAGTAGTGCTGTTTACTTTCAGTACTTCTTGTTGAAATGCACCTCAGTTGTATTTATCAATATCAGTGTGTATATTTTGAATTTAAGTGGTTTTATTGTTAATGCCAAAGGTGGCAACAGACTGTGCTGTTCCGTGACAATTTGATAATTATATTTAGTTCTTGTTTATCGGTCAAAGGAAAATTTCTGTGTTAAATAGAGCAAATCGTTCCTCTTTCATTTCTTCATCCGACATTCAACTTTCTTCCATTTATCTCCAGCTTTGAAAAGAATACAAGGACATCTTCTGTGTGTTTTCGAGAAAACAAGAGTTTACATTACATACCTTTGTGTGAAAAGTAAAATTGTGACTTTCACTACTTACATGTATTATTTAATTTAAAATGAGCGAAAATCAACGTAAAACAGTACAGTAAAATTCTAAAGCTGTCTTGAGGAAAGGTAATTAATTGTAAGTTATTCTTGGACTGTGAATGAAAATACACACATCAAACATACACACTGCTAAAATTATGTCTCATCAAAATCCTTAGCTGACTAGCAAGGTCAATACAAACCAGGAGTGAATTGCAGGGTTATATACGAACTGTGTTATGAGTACTGCATCAGAGCTATACATTACACTCTGCACTATCTGAGATTGTCTCACTAGTTCAGTCTCAAAATAATTGTTGGCACAGATTGATGTCAGGAATGAAACATCACAACACCACATCTTTAAATCAGTTAAAAGAAACACATACATGTGTAACCTTGCTTTCCGATGCGAATGTTCCAGTTTATTTCAGGGCACAGCAGTGAACAAAGTATAGCTCAGAACAACTTATGGCCAACTGTATCGTAGCTAGAAAGCGTCTTGCAAACTATATCAAATTGATTTGAGAATCACCAACCACAGAAGACACAATTTTAAGGTCACCAATGCTCCTTTCATTCAAAACTTAACTCAAATGGCCTCCAATGCTTACCACAAGTTTTCCAATGCAACTGCAAGTTTTCCGAGTGTATTTTTCAACTCCTCCAATACTCAAAACAACTTCCAGATTTTTCTGCTCACAGGGGTGCTCTGATGACAAAAACTGACCTGAAATTTCTAGCATTTATTTATATTTTTGTGTAAGATTTGGGGATTTTGCTGTCCAATTCTGCTTTTGCTGTAAGTTTTCATTCCACAAGAAGCAACTCTTGATTCAAGTTTGACAGTGCCGTGATTCCCCTGATCAAACTAGTTCTTTGCTATGCATAGCAACCAATGAGATGGAGACAATAGATTTCATCAAATTACTATTTTCGTGTTTGTCAAAGTGGGCAATGGGCCAACTTTTGAGTTTATGTGTTGAAATATTTTGAAATAAAAAGGCTTTTTCGGTAGTATTGTAAGATAATGGTTTGACACTGACTATTTTTTGATGTTTTGAAACACCAAAAAGAAAAAGTCAGTGTCAAACCATTATCTTACAATGTTAGCTCCTGACTACCACTACTCTATTTTTCTGTGGTAGTTTGTTTCTTTATTATATGAAACAAATAAGTTTCATGTTGCTGTACATCAGTAACAGGTCACAGAAGACGTGATAATGTGATAAGAACATCAGTGACACACTCGGCTATCGCCTCTTGTGCCACTTTTTTGTTCTTACCGCATTTTGACGTCATCTGTGTTCTATTACTGAACAGATGTACGGTAACATGAAATCTAGTTGTTAAGTAGTTCTTGCTTATTTTATCTGCCTGGAGTGGTATAATAACTGAGATCCACTGCCTGAACAAACTCTGAAACACATTAATTGTATCTCAGATTCAAGTGCAGCCAAGCATTGTCATTCTTGTAATTTACTATTCACGGAGCTGTCAGTATTTGAAAGTGACTTCCTCTGTTATAGTATGCCAGTGTTATCATACTGTTACATGATTATTTTTATTTAAAGATGACTATTGTTAAACAGTCTCACATGCTGCTCAGATTAGTGAGAAATTGACTGGTCACTCAAGTTTCTGTAATTATCAAGCAAGTCCTTATTTTTACATCTCAAAGAAATGTATCAATTTAGATGTAAATTACTCTCGCAATGAGCAATAATTCACTTTTTCAACAGATGACGATGGAAATGTGCTCCGTCAGAAGAATCTTAGCGAATGGGCTTTCAGAGAAGGGAAGAGAATGATGTTAGCTGGGGTAAGGTGAAGTTAATTGTGTAAAATACAGTGTATGTATTAATACAGGGTGTCCAGCAGCATTGTTGTTCTGAAAAATTGGAAAACAAAATAGGAGAATCAATACTACTGTGATAAATACAGCCTCCCAACACCCCATCAGCTATTCCAATCCACTGCTTTAATTCATCAACAGTGATACAAATGTACATGCATGTATGACAATCTAAAAGTTTTTATTCTTCTTAACTCTCATTGTGATAACAACATCTGATTAATTAACATAAGTTTACATAAAGAGAAAAAGCTGAAGAGTAAGTTGGCAATCAATTGAAGGCTTTCCTGCAAAAAGGGCATACATACACTGTAGCATTTTGGGCCGATTTTTATTTTTTGCAGGATCGAGCTACTTTTTGGCAGACAGGCTTGTTTTGACATGAAAAGCATTGTTGCATAATTGTTTTGTTGATTTGCGCTTCATTTTCGAGAAATAACGTATGCAAAAAACTCAGTTTTCCAGGGGTTACATGTATATTAATCTTTTGGAGATCTTTTGTTGAGCAAAAAACAAAAGAAACCTTTTGTTTTGCTAAACGATGAAGTCACCGAAGCGTGGTATTTGCCACTAGTTTTATTATTCCTAAAATTACACTGTTCTCTTTTTGTTGCTTCATTAGCGCAAGCGAATAAGTAGAGGTAATCATACGGTTTTTCTCATTCAATTTGGAATTAATTTGCATGAATGAGTTTTTCAAAAAGCTGAAATTACATGAGCTACTTCAGCGAGTGCAATTTCAGCTTTTTGAAAAACTCACAAGTACAAATTAATTGCGAATTGAATGAGAAAAACCGTATGAGTACTAATTAATAATATAAACATGAAAAAATTTGCACGAAGGAAGTGCTGGAAGATCTTTCTTGAAGCCATTTTTTCTCATTTGAGAAAATTTTTTTCAAAGTTTCTGCACAAAATTTTCATCATTTTATGTGATATCATTGGCTTAGAAAATTTCCTTTTGTCTTTCAGCCAATCATAACTCAGAATTGCGATGTGTAATTTGCACTGGTGTTACACTTTTTGCACCAGTGTAAGACCTTTTGCACTGTGTTACACTTGAACTCCACTGCTCTCAGCCAATCAGAATCAAGTAATTTTTCATGAATATTATTAGGCGCTGAACGGGCTGGATTCGAGTTTGTTTTGTCGTGACACCAGTTTGATACAAGGTCGGTCGGTTTTTTTTCCCAGCCTATTTCTCTACTTCTTTCAAAAACCAAAACATCTATTTAACAAACAAACTGTGCTGTTGAAGCTGCTAAAAGTAAGCGTTTAAGTTTGTGCTGCGTCAAAATCCACCTTCGAAGGATTCACTCCAAAAAATGCCAGTCGGAAAACTGAGTATTTTCACATGTTATTTTTCGAAAACGAAGTGCAAATCAGCAAAAACAATTATGCAATGATGCTTTTTATGTCAAAACAAGTCAGTCTGCCAAATATTAGCTCAATCCTGCAAAAAATAAAAATCGGCCCAAAATGCTATATACACCCTTTTTGCACGAAAGTCTTCAATTTGAATATATTTTCTTAGAACAAGACTGGTGATTTTGTACACTCAATTCATCAATTCAAATTCCCTGACAACTGAGCTACTCCAGCTCAACCTTGTTCAGAAACTACGCTGTCTTTTCAAAAAGTTAACATAAAACCAATAGACAATAGCAAACGGAACAAATCCTTAGTGAAGTTTAAAAACAACAGTTCACTCTTAACTTGACATAAAACAAGTTTACACTTAATTTGACTTTAAATGACAGTTCACCTTTAGAATGTCTTATCAACCAAAGTTCACCATTCATTTGCCTTTCTTTTCTTTGATGAACATCGACTTCGTGACATGAGCATCTTTGAGTTCAAATTTGATCATATCTACACGTAAGTGAGCAAGAGTTCAGTGTAAGGACATGTATGGATACTTAATATATTTTGTTTGGTTTATACAGAATATGTCGTCTTCAACACAGTCAGATGAACTACATTTAGATCAACTAGATATACTAGGTGCAGTAGAAATTCAGTGAAAAATATGGAAACAGTATGTCTAAACTATGCAATAAAAATTACTT